GCACGTTCCAATTACCCTTTACCCCCCCCATTGAGAGTTATGTGTCATATTACGCCCTAGGAACTCTCACATAGACTTTAGTTTGACAACAATGCTGTAAGGGAACGTTATCATGGTTTACAACCCACTCGCCCAAGTAGTTACAAATAAACACAGAAGCAGACACATACTTTCATAACCGTTACATTTCAAGACATACCTATTTTTATTTTATTTTTATCTAAAGCCAAATATGTATTTCTTGTTTACCTTAGATAAAGAGGGGTTAAGTCTTGTAAAGTTTTTTTTTTTTGGTTCAAACTAGTCCCATTGGGGATATTTTCTTACACTTCCTGTTCTGGAATCACAACAGGAAGTAAGAAGAAATCCCCTGCAAGGACATGTTTATACCTTTCACATACTGCAGCTCAATGGGCATGGTGTGAACAAGCCCTTATGATCCATTCACACCAAAGTGTGAGCGTAGCCAGGTGTTAGAGTATTCTTTTTTCTTTCTGCACATTTGTGTGCACGTTTCAGGGGGAAAAGAAAAAATGTTGTGCAATTTGCTGTACAGGAACAGAATTGTGTGTTTTTTGGCACCGTAGTCTTTTAAATGAGAGATACAATAAAAAAAAAAAAAAAACTTGATAAATGACTTCAATCTCTTTAAAGTCAATGGGGCCAAAACACACAGTTCTGCATGAGAATGTGCGCACATGAAGATGCACGTTTTGACTAGCAGCTAAAGAAACATTGCGGGCAATGGACGAACACTTGTACAAACACACAAAAATGTGCAACATGCTTCTGCCGCGCGTTTCTGATGAAGTATATGGAGGAAAAATTAGCTGTAAACTGGCAAAAAAACTGGTGTACTTTTTTTTTCTGCCTTTGGCGTTTTGCTGCACAGATGTGAACAGGGGCCATTGAAAATCATGGAATTTCTTGTGTTGCGCGTTTTAAAGGGCTTTTTCTACAGCTCAAAAACGCCTAGGTGTGAACCAGGCCTGACAGAACCCCAGATGCCAGTAAGAACTTCCATGGGTTGGAATTCTTCCTAGCCAATCAGGGAGGCGGGTCATAGCCCACCGCCTTGCTTCCTGATTGGAAAGGAAGCCGGCTCCATGCTCCCTTGGCACTGCTGGTCAGAGGGAAGTTCCAGTATTGGAGCATTGGGGCGAGTACTCGTACTCACCCAAATATTCGGTATTGGCACCGATACTAGTATATGTGCATCCCTAGTTAAAACCATGTGCTCGATGGTCTTTGGCACTTTCCAGCACTTAAAAATGAACCTGAAATATGTGAGCTGTGGTTGCTGACTTTACACAGTACATAGTAGGTGCATAGATTTTGGGGCATCTTCCTTAGAATGAGATGTTGGCAAAAGATCCTGCATTAGCAGTGCTTGAAATCTGCTGTGAAATCTGCTGTGATTATTCAGTGTACCGTATTTGCCGGCGTATAAGATGACTTTTTATACTTAAAAACATCCCCCGAAAATCGGGGGTCGTCTTATACGCCGGGTATAAATCTGTCAGCCCGTTAAATGTGCGGTAATACTGTATGTACGGTAGCTTCGGCTACATACAGTATACCACGCTGAGCCAATCACGGCGAGCGATGTACACAACCTCTGCCAATCTGAGCAGGCTTTGTATTCATTAATAGAATACATCGCTCGCCGTGATTGGCTCAGCGTGCTATACTGTATGTAGCCAAAGCTACCGTACATACAGTATTAACGCACATCGAGCAAGTTTCATAGATTAGTGGGTGTATTTAAACATTATTTTGGGCTATACTCGTCTTATACTTTATAGTTAAAATGTTTTAACTGAAAAATTAGGGGGTCGTTCTATACGCCCAGTCGCCTTACACTGAGTGGCCAGATTATTGTGACCACCTGACGTTTGTAGGCAAATTAGCTATAATTAGCTATAATTTTGCGCTGAAGTTGCTAGAGGGCCAGACCATTATAAATAGGGAAGCAGGTTGTTTACCACGACAGTAGAAGTGATTTTTTTTCTGAAGATATGGGTAAACAACGCGATTTAACAGCCTTTGAACGTGGGATGATTGTTGGCGCTCGGAGCCATGGAGCGAGTATCAGCAAAACAGCAGAATTCGTTAAATGTTCAAGAGCAGCTGTTGTTAAAGTGTTTAAAGACTGGACTGTCAGCCAAAAATCTGGGTCTGAACGTGCGAATTGTGTCCGTCAGCGACCAGTCAATGTTAGGGCACATTACACTGACCACCAATGTAAGGGGGGATTCCACACAGACCACCAATGTAAGAGGGGGATTCCACACTGACCACCCATGTAAGGGGGATTCTACACTTACCACCAATGTAAGGGGGATTCCACACTGACCACCCATGTAAGAGAGGATTCCACACTAACCGCCAATGTAAGGGAGGATTCCACATTGACCACCAATGTAAGGGGGAGATTCCACACTGACCACCAATGTAAGGGGGGGATTCTACACTGACCACCAATGTAAGGGGATATTCTACACTGACCACCAATGTAAGGGGGGATTTCACATCGACCACCAATTTAAAGGGTGGGATTCTACACTGATCACCAATATAAGGGGACCCTGCCCATCAATATAAAGGTGGATTCCACATTGACCACCAATGTAAGGGGGGATTTCACACTGACCACCAATGTAAGGGGGGATTCCACACTGACCAGCAATGTAAGATAGGATTCCACACTGACCGCCAATGATTCTACACTGACACTGACCACCCATGTAAGAGAGGATTCCACACTAACCGCCAATGTAAGGGAGGATTCCACATTGAACACCAATGTAAGGGGGAGATTCCACACTGACCACCAATTTAATGGGACCCTGACTCTGCCCATCAATATAATGGGGATTCCACACTGACCACCAATTAAATGGGACCCTGACCCTGCCCATCAATATAATGGGGGAGATTCCACACTGACCACCAATTAAATGGGACCCTGACCCCGCCCATCAATATAATGGGGATTCCACACTGACCACCAATGTAAGGGGGAGATTCCACACTGACCACCAATTAAATGGGACCCTGACCCTGCCCATCAATATAATGGGGATTCCACACTGACCACCAATTAAATGGGACCCTGACCCTGCCCATCAATATAATGGGGGAGATTCCACACTGACCACCAATTAAATGGGACCCTGACCCTGCCCATCAATATAATGGGGATTCCACACTGACCACCAATGTAAGGGGGAGATTCCACACTGACCACCAATTAAATGGGACCCTGACCCTGCCCATTAATATAATGGGGATTCCACACTGACCACCAATGTAAGGGGACCCTTACCCTGCCCATCAATGTAAGGGGGGATTCTACACTGACCACCAATGTAAGAGAGGATTCTACACACACAACCAATGTAAGGGGGATTCTACACTGACCATCAATGTAAGGGGGATTCTACACTGACCACCAATGTAAGGGGGATTCTACACTGACCACCAATGTAAGGGGGATTCTACACTGACCACCAATGTAAGGGAAGATTCTACACTGACCACCAATGTAAGAAATAATTCTATCCTGACCACCAATGTAAAAGAGGATTCTACACTGACCACCAATGTAAGGGGGATTCTACACTGACCACCAATGTAAGGGGGATTCTACACTGACCACCAATGTAAGGGGGATTCTACACTGACTACCAATGTAAGGGGGATTCTACACTGACTACCAATGTGAGGGGGGATCCTACACTGACCACCAATGTAAGGGAAGATTCTGCACTGACCACCAATGTAAGGGGGATTCTACACTGACTACCAATGTAAGGAGGGATTCCACATTGACTACCAATGTAAGGGGGGATTCCACACTGACCGCCAATGTAATGGAACCCTCACCCTGCCCATTAATATAACGGGAGATTCTACACTGACCACCAATGTAACAGGGAACTTTACGATGACCACAGATTTGCACAGGCTTGGCTGAACTACAGCGAACTGGGTTTGCCCCAAGCCCCTGCACATCACTATTGACCAAACGCTGATCAACTACATGTTTTATTGCCCTTCAGCCGCATCTGTGAATGAGGCCTAAGGCCCCATTAACACTGAGCGATTTATCGCGCGATTTTTGCAGCGATATCGCTCATATTTCCGTGCGATATCGATCCATGTAGCTTCTCCAATCCATTTCAATGGAGCTGTTCACATCTCGCCGCTCAATATCGCTTGTAGCTCGTTGCTGTAGCTTGTCGCTCCTACATGACCCTTTTTTCTGCGGATTTCGAGCTATTTTGCTCCTGATTGCATACAGCCCAATAGGAAAAAGTCGCACGACAATTCGCGCAATATCGCACATGGAAAATCGCGCGATTTTCATGTCGCTCAGTGTGAATGGGGCCTAAGACACTGGTATTCATCATGGTATTTACAGTGACCCCTCACTAACACAGACATCCCAACTCCCCCTGGACGCTCTCTAAGTCTCCCGCTATTAGATAGTGGCTCCCGGCCGCCCCGGAGAGAAACATTTTCTTCCGGAAAGGTTTACTCTACTTGATAGAGTAAACCTTTCCCTGCTATCTTTTTTTTTTTTTCTTTCCTGACATCGGGGCCACCGGCCGCCGTCAGAGAAGAAAACAAAAAACAGCATAGGAATTAATAGTTAGATTGCATTTCTATGCTGTTTGTTTTCTTTTTACTCTGACGGCAGCAGCTGTCAGAATACTAACAAAAAACCTGCTGATAGCAAGGGAAGCAATAGCTTATTTACTATCTGCAATTATTTCAGGGGGGTGCTCCCCCCCTCTCGCGGATGGGGGGTGGGGGGAGGGCACCTCCCTGAAATCACTTTTTTCAGGTTGGGATCCCTGCTAACATGCTATGGGCAACTGCTCCAGAGTCTGTCCGCTCCAGAGTTGATGAGTTCCCCTCTCTGTACTGTCCCTTTAAGCGGTGTAAATAACATCGCACATCCTCCAGAGGGCGCTGTTATTTCCCAGGCTCCTCTGCTGGCTTCCTCCGCAGCTCTATGGTGATGAAGTAGTACGGATGCTCCTGTGGGCCAAGTGAAGACGTAGTGTGTGCGGGCAGCGTGCCTATGGCAGGTCTGGAGGAAGGCAGCGACGTGCTGTTCAGGCGAGGAGGCGGCCAGGTACAGGTCTATGAAGAATGTCGGTGTAGAGGGCTGAGCTGTATTCTCCATAGGCTGTCATAGCGCCGTGACCGAGTTCCCCAAGTGGAGGCCAGTCACCCTGCGGGGTCATTACTTGGTTTCCCTGTCTCCATGTAAATACTCTGCGGCCTCCGGCGGGGGCCTCAGTGCTGCTGGTGAACTGCAGGTCCCAGCATGACAGTCCCTGCCCAAGCTGACCAGTGTGTGTTTTGGATCCACAGTCCTGGAGTTAAGGGATCTGGACTCGGTTGTTGCTTGCTCTCCCTTCCACTATGTCTGATTCTACATCACTAATGGCCACAAATATGTTCTCAGATCATGTGAATAATACATGAATGATGCTGATTGGGTTATTCATTGCTCCTTTATACTTTGACATGCAGACCATGCTTTCCAGCAGAAGGAAGTGGCAATGGTTGGGACTTCCTGTCACTCTGGGCACCTTTTTATATTCACATTGTAAATGAAAATGATCGGAAGCTGATCAGTGGTATGGGTCAGGGTTATAGTCCATCCTTGTCACTGGACAGCTCAGTCTGCAGGAGAATGGGGAGAAGAGTATACATACAATCATGTGATATCAATAAAGGGTTAAATGGCTGTTATTATTACAGGTATTACCCATATACAATTAACAGAACACACTTCTTGGAGTGTTGTAGATACACTCCCTAAAGTGTCGTAGATAGACTTTGGGAACCCCATTTTCTTTGTGTTTTTCAATGGTGTCTCCTATAAAAATCCATACCAGACCCTTATCTTGGATAAGGGTCTGGTATGAATTTTGGAGGGGCCACATGTAATTTTTCTTTTACATTTATGTTTTCTACACCTTTTTAGACTGGGGTGCCTCAAGATTTTGCATGCTTTTAAATAGGGATGCACCGATATATCATAATAAAAAATGAATTAATAAATACATATAAAAAAATTAAAAAGTTTATTAAATAAAAATAAAATATTTCAAAAATTTGAAAAAAAGTCAAATAAAAAAACATTTTCGGTTTCGGCCTGACAATTTTTTTTTATTTTGGTTTTGAAATTTCCATTTCGGTGCACCTCAACTTTTTAAAGGGTTCTGTGATTGAAAAAATGTTGCAAGTACAGAAGAACATTTTCACCTGCCAGAAATCCAGTGAGCTCATAACTTCTTATTGTGAGCTGATAGCACTGTCTGTGGTGCACTGAAATCCCAAATAGTGTTGTCTGCTTGTGTTCTCTCCTGCTGGACTACAGCACGCCTTCCTATATGTTATGGAGGTGAGAGGAAACAGAGATGTTTTTTTAATCAAGAAGGTGAGAACAGGACTGACAACACTGCTTGTCAGTACAGTGCAGCAGCGGCACTGATGCCAGGAAGTTAGGAGCTCTCTGGATTTCTGGTAGATCCAACAGGTGTTCTCTTGTACTTGCAGTGTTTGTAAAGAGACAACACATGAGAGAATGTACATGTATTGCAGAGGTATATGATTTTTTATTGTATTGTTCCGACATCCCTCTTGGGAGAGGGAGTCCATGTTTATCATAATTACGCTGTCTGTACTGTGCTGGCAGGTCTCATTATCAATATGAATCCAGAAAAAAAAAATCAATGTACTCCTCTCAGGAAACGATTACAAATCAGCCAGCTAGAGATGCTATATACTATACACCCAAGTCA